TCTGAAAGATAGGTTGGCATATATATAGGGAATACTTTTCTAGGAGATATTATAAGTTTCTGTGATCTTTTTGAGAATTTTATTCTGATTTATATTCTAAAAAAAAAACATCTCTTAAATAACACTTCACTTCTATGATTCTCCATTAAACATGGACAATAGAAAAGTTAACTCTTAAGTAGTGATCACAGTCTTTTGGGATAATTGAAACAATGATCAGCAGTGCGATCACGTGTGCTGAGGGGATCTGTGAAAATCCTTATGGGGGCCCAACACGATCAGAGAATCGATCAATCGTTCGATCTGTGAGCCGAGCTGAGCACAGTTAGGTTTACCCCTACGGGTAAACCAGAGAGCTGCGGATCTCTTTGGGCAGCCAGCCAAGATCGGCATTAAGGTACTTAAAATTCTGAGAGCAGATCGATGCAGCCCGGAGGCCCAACTATTTGGGCCCAACGGGCTCATAAAAGCCATCGGATTGGTCCGCACGATATATACGATGTACGATGTACGATGTCCGATGTGTGCCGCCAAAGTGCGGAGAAATTATCAAAGTGAATGAAAGGTAAGGGAAGGGTGAGGGTGAGGGGTACTTGGGGTCTTTTGGGAGGTGGTCAGGTACGGGTACTGGTACTGGTACTGGTACTGGTACTACGAGGTCTCGAAGTCTGCTGTTGTCTGGACTTTGAAAATGGAAAAAGAGAAAGACACACTTTGGCCACATAACGTTAATGTAAACGCAAACGTAAACGCAGACAGGGACAGGAAATGCTCTCTGTCATGATCATTTTCCATAATTAAACGGACGCAGCAGAAGACATTGGCCACTTGTGGGTTAAATGGGTTTGTTGGCCCCCACAGATATATCTATATAAACATATTCATATATATATATAACGCTTAGCTGGATATGTAGATACTTGGGTGCCGGGCTTAATTGATTTGTCTTTTGGCGAGTTTAGCAATGACTCCGTTTTACTTTTGCACTCTAATAACTGCAACATTGATATCGGCACCTTGATTGGTCTTACATTGGGCTATGTTCGCTATAAGGATGTCTCTATTTATGGTTTATACTTTAATATATATGTTTTAGGAACTTTTTCTGATCAATCTGTTGTAATAAAAAGGGATTTTAATGCCCTGAGATTGCTTTTTATACAAAATTAACACATATTAGGTTGAGTCTCTTAAAGAGTATTACTTTATCGACTTGTTAACTTTAAATTTAACCACGATAATTGGCTAATTGAATTATTTGCACAAGTTAAGAACTAATAATAATTAAGCGGGAGGATGTGAGTCCGCTCAGCACGACATTGATGGCCTTGACTGGGTGTTGGTGCGATGGGTGTTGACTTGGTTGGTTGGTTAGTTGGTTGGGTAGATTAGTTAGCTTGTTGGCCAAATACCAAGGTGTCGTCGATGATGGGGCCCAAGATGGTTGCAGAAGTAGAATCCAAAGCAGCAGCAGCAGCAGCAGACGGATGTGGACTTGGATTGTAAATATTCGAATGGCCACCGGTAAATTGCGTTCAAGGTGTTTGTTGTTTACGAAAAATCCGTTGGCCTTGCCACACGGTACTCGATACTCGATACTACTAAAGAGTTGGTTAATTAGGCAGAAGCAGAAGCCTCCGATCGAATGTTCCACGAGGAAGGTCTGGGCTAGAAGTGAGACTCGATTGGAGGTTACTGGCGTTGGTTTAGTGGTGACCCCGACATGAGCCTTCATTGAAAATAGTCAGGAATATCATTAATAACTCTAAAATCTGTTAAATTTTATCCATTACAAAGCTTTGGGTGTATCAGGGGAATAGGATTTAATGTATTTCGATCGAAATTATTAGTTGGTGACCCCGATTATTGTGATACAATGAAAACTAAACCCCAAATCTATAGATTTTCTTAACCCATTGAAATGGAAACTTTTTGTTAAAGGTTTAGTTCTGCTGTTTACTTAATATTTGTAGGGTTTTCTCTCTATAATGAAAGCTATATCATTATTTAGGATCCCCCAATTTGATTTGACTTTCCCCCTTCGGACACATTTTCTCTATATATATATATATATGGGACACGCTGTGAATCTGAAACTGTATCCCGATTCTGGGCCTTGGGTTTCTGGATTGTGGGTGCTCGATAAGCAGAGTAAATATTGAATCAACTGAACCGCAATAAATCCAAACAAAAACCGACAAAAAAAAGCAAAACCAAAAACCAAAACCAATGAGGCAACAAATCAAAACATTCTCATATGTATATATTTTGTCTGGACCCTCTCTGGATGGGATGTGATATCTATATATATATATATATACCCGTTTGTTTGCCCCGATGTGTTGGTGGACACCTGCGCCTGTTGGCATGATAACTCCATCGAATATTATGGGATGGCTGGCTGAGATGCGGACATCTCAGGTATATGCCAGTGTCTATATCTTTGTTTGATTTCGCTCTGATCGTGTGAAGGTTTTGACTTATTTTTATGGTTGTTATCTTATCGCTGATGATTTACGATAGAGCAGGCCTGAGAAGGCTTGAGAATGAACGAAAGTGTTGCAAGATTTTCGAACTATGGAACAGAGAGAGAAATGTGGTTTATGATTAAACTATAAATAACGTTTTATAACGTTTTTTGCAATATTTTAGAATCTTTTGCGAGGAAGTTATTCTGAATTATAGTTTAACTTTATCAAAAAACATTGCAAAATTGATACTTTTGTGATGAATTTTTGTTCTATGTGTAGTATTAATCTCCAACCAACCAACCAACCAACCCCCTTACCAATGATCTCCCCTTATCTAGCTGTCTCGCTCTACTCTCGATATCTTCTCCTCCTTCTCTCTGTCACACTTCTCTTACTCTCGCGCCAAACACGAACGCATTTCATCCGGACGGATGTGAGCATTACTTTTTATGGATATTTATGTAGGGGACGTGACCGTCGAAAAAACCCACCAAGGCACACACACACACACTAAAGAAAGAGAGAAGAACTCTTTTGTGTTGTTGTTGTTGTGTTTATTCTTCTTCTTCTTGGTTTTTAATCAATCGATAAAGATGGGGTTACGGACACCCAGCGACTACTTAATGTGTGAAGCAGGAAATCGACCAACGACACACATTGCCAATCGTTTATCGATCTTCAGGGAGCGAAAGAGACAGGGCAAGAGATCATCACGATGATGACTGTTTATGGTGGATTTACGGTAAATCCAAACCGCGTGACCAAGAGAAAGGCTTTTCCTTCTACTTTTTTGTTTAATTTTGATGATCTTTCTAGCTGATCAAAGTTATAAAGTAATCAGAAACTAAATATTACAACTTTCTAGGAAAATACTTCGTAATTCTTGATCATATTAGGTTTATCTTTTCAATTTCACTTCAGATTATTAATACTTAAGCTTAATAAATATTAATAATGTAAGCTTAAGTAAGCAATTTTCTGTTAAGAACCAGAAAATCTTCTGGGAATCATAAGCAGCGGATAAGCTGAGTGAGCAGTATGGAGTGAAGAGGAGAAGAAGCAGCAATAGCAGCTTCTTCCTTATGTAAGAGCTGCTGGTCTCAAATAACCCGACCGTCTGGAGCCAGTCTGCGTTCAAATGGCGAAACCTGAGTTCCTGTTCCTCCATGGACAATCCATCCATCCATCAATTAGACCATCCATCCATTTAGCAATCCAATCCAGCCATGGCTGTTCTTCGGGTGTTTTTTTTTTTTTGCTAAACGTGATGAGCTGCGCGTGCGCAAAAAGTTGGCTTTCTCTCGGCCCCCCCTCCCCCTTTTGAGTTGGCAGAAATGATAGCAATGATAAGACTATCGAAAGTGATACTAGACATGCGATAGGGGATCACGGACATGGTAAGCGAATACCTTTGGGAACTAACCCATCACGAAAGGTGCCGCGCGCGCTATCTCTTCTTCTTTTGCCAGAAGAACTTGAGAGCCAAAGCTTGTGCAGGTTTTGGCCTTGTCAACTGATCTCTAAACGATTTTCATATTCCAATGTGACTAATGGCAGGCTCTTGGGAGTTTTTTTTTTTTTAGAGGGAATTTAGAGACATTCTGAAGGGAAGAAAGATAAATAATTGAAATTTTAAACTTGAGATTACTTTAAGCAAAAGTTAAGAGGAATTTCTCTTGGATTTACTTAGTAAAATGCAGGAAAATACCAACTTAAAATCACAGCTGATTTTACTGGTGGATTTGTTAAACTTTTTAAATATTTGCTGGCTGTTTGGGAATATAAAAACAAAAACCCAACCCGGCAGTGATTTGATCGCATTTCCAGGCAATTGATATGCGGCCACTTCCTCCTGAATGGAGTTTTGGATGCCTTTGAGGCAGGCCTGTTTTTATTTTTTTTTGTATTTTAAAAGCTTAGAGATATACGAGAAATGAAAAAGAAGAGGAGCTCGCTCGGCTGTTAATTACAACAGCAACAAGATGCCGCATTGCATTAGCAGAAATCAAACATGCAACGCTCAGCCAAGAGTCAGCCGACCAAACAGATGGATGGATGGATGGATGGATGGATGGATTGGATGGATGCATGGAGGGAGCTCTATACAACTCTGCTCTATACCAAAAAAAAAAAAAAAAATAGTTGCAACATTTTCAATTATGAAATTGCTTCTGTTTTGCAGTGGGTTTTGTGCAGGCCCAATCCGGCGATCCATCCGATTATATAAACCGAAGCGAGCGTAAATCATAAAAGCGGCGAATGTATCTTGCAGATACCAAAAATTGCATCGCCTAGCTAGCTCAGCGCGTGCCGTCAGTTAAACAAAAAATACAAAAAAAAAAAAAAAAAAGGTTAGCTCATCGAAGGTGGCAAAGTGGGCGGGGGGCGGTGGTGCAGTGGGTGGTTGGTGAGCTCTTCTGTTGTTTTTGTTAATTACACGGCAACAGCAGCAGCCGGTTGCTGGTTGCTGTTTGCTGTTTGCTGGTTGCGCATGCGCCACAAATTTGTTGCATTTACGCGAGATATTTATTATGATTTCGCCGAGGTTTCTTGGCTTTTTGTTTGTGTTTGTTTTATGAATGCGGCAAATGGAAAATGGAAATTGAAAGAGAAAAATTGCATGATGCAGCCACTAGATGCGGTTTCTTGTCGAGGGATTTGCTAACTTTTCTAGTGGCTTTCTAAAAGGTTGTTCTCATGGTTAAAGGTCTGAGGGAAAAATCCTAACAAGACCCAAGCAGGCTGTTTTTTTTAATCCCCACAAGTCCCTGTCACATTTCCCAAACACAAACTACTCACTCACTTCTCCTTGTGCCTGTTTCGACAACAAAAACGTTCACATTGCTAAAGTTTAAGAAACAAAATATTTAAGTTAATTATTAAAAATACAAAAACAAAAAGAATCCAGGATGTCTTATGATATGAAATCTAAAGATGAAGATCAATCCTTGCGTTGCCTGCACTGCATGAATGAGGTTCGATGTCCCCGCCACGGTACTGACGGTCTAGTCCGTCACATCGAAGAACAGCATTCGGATTTATTTGCCTCGACTGGTGCCAGGAACCGAAAGAATTTGTTTGATCTCGTTTCGGCACCAAAAATTGGCAAGGATAGCGCCTCGGAAGTTATCAAATTGATTTGTGTTGCAAAGTCGCCATCAAAGGAGAAAATCGTGTTTTGTAAGTTGGAAAGTTTTGCAAAAAAAGTTTAAAAAAAAAACATAAAAATCTAAAATAAAATTAAATAGATTTTGCCAAAGAGATTTCGGAGCGACAGTGGGACATCAAATTAAGGAAAATAAATTATAATCAAGCCTATAAGAAGCCCAAGCCCAAGGACTATTCTCCACCGAAAGTCAGGTTTCTTAAATGTCCCAATGAGGTTTCATGTCGCAAAGTCAAAGATTGTATACATATTAAAAACAGGGAAACTTCTTCCAAACCCAAGGAATTTTTGTCGAAGCCCAAGGAATCCTGTTTAAAAACTAAGGATCCTCTCCCTGATATGACTTTTCGCAAGAAATCCTATAGATCTTCCGTAAGACATTGGTCTGCCCTGGACGGAAGACTCTTCTGTCCAGCTTGCAGCTATAAGAAACGTCCCATAATCAAATATGCCTCGGAAACGAATTCGGGATGGTATTCCTGGACAATATGTTTTCTACCTTGCCTGATGTCCTCCGATAATCAAGAGTATTTATATTGCCGAAAATGCAGTAACTTTTTGGGTATCTATAATCGTGAGAAAAACATGATTAAGCCTAATAAGGAGTATTTCTGAGAGTCATACTTTTTTAATGCTAATCTTTGTTATGCATTTTCCATTTTCCAAAATTGTTTGTTTCATAGATTTTGAAATATAAATTTCATACTTTGTGGTTATAAGAGAGAGTTTTTCTCTATAGTTGAGGATCTAAAGTACATTTTTATTCTGGAAAAGACTTAACCACCGTCTAGCAGCAAAGTCTTGTTGATTCCCAGGTCATATTCCCTCCCTCCCCCCCTTCCCAGCTGAAAGAAGACATAAGATCTCGAACTTGAGGTTGTGACAGATATGGGCGGGCAATTAAGTGACTAGTGTGTTGGTACACCATTTTTGGCTTTGCTGTAGGTACACCTGGGTAACACCACCTTTGTTAAAACTGAAATAAAATGAAATGTCTGGGGGGAAAGATGGTAACAGCCAGAGGGTTAACGGAAACTGCTGCTGACTGCTGACTGCTATCCAGTTCGGTCAGCTTTCATCTAAGTTGCCAGCACCATATCTTTTATGGCAATAAAAGAAACATATTACGAGTTGTTAGCTGCTGCTGCTGCTGGTGTTTCTTAGTCAGTTTTTGTTTTTTTTCTGATTTGGTTTTTTTTTGTTGTCATTTTTTGGGAGCACTTAAAACGACACTCGTCTTGGGGGTCAAAAGGTGCTGAGAACGAGCCGTCAAATGATGCTGAAATTGTGGAAAACTGAAACTTGTTTCACCTGAACTGCTGCTGGTGCTGCTGCTGCTGCTGCTAGTGAATGTTGAAATATATTTTGTGTTAAACTTTTTTGGTTTTCGCATTTTCCCAAAGGAGAAGAAATCTTATGGGAAAATCAAATGCAGGACATTTGACTAATTGGTCAGGCAGCTGATTGCAGATTGTCGTCTATAACCTTCGAAGGACAATCGACGAGGGGTTTAGGTTTTTGGGATTTTAACACGCAGACGAGTGGCCAAGATCATCATCATGATCATCATCCCGTTTCGGGATGCTGCTCTACTTACGCCCCAGGGATCTGATCTGTCACCTTTTGCTAAATAAGAAAGAAAGAAAGAAGGAAAAGGGGTTAAATAAGACGACGACGACGGGGTGGTGGGGTGGTGAACCCATAAATCAACAACGCTTGATGAGCTACAAAAACCAGTTTAGCGACTTAACCACTTTTTTTTTTTATTTTCCTTTTTCTTGGACAACATCCTGTTTCGTTATCCCAGATAGATTTACCCTTTCCCCTTTTGATCTTCACCTCCCCTTCCTTGTGATCTCCCATGACCAATGTCCATCTCAGGCACACGAAAATCTTGAACTTTCCAACCCAAAAACTAATTGAATTTTCTGCTACCGATGTGATGTGATCTTTAAGCAACCCAAAGACCAAAGGGGCGGGAGGTCCCATCATGTCAATTTCATTAAAAATGTCCGAAAATGTTCTTTGAACTTTCAACTTTTGGGTTCTGAGGAGGATGCTAAGGGTTGGCTACGACGTACCAATTTATCAGGGGTTATTTGACCAAAGTCAAAGGGCCATTTTTTGGGTTAGAAAATGTCAGATTTTGCCATCCATTATGGAAGCTGGGCAAGGAGTTGGGGTTTTGAGTTTAACCAATGGAAATTGTTCTTTGTTTTAAGGGGAGCATTTGTGATTCTTTCTTAGGACTACTGTTAGTTAAGATATATCTGGAATAAATCTTAAGTTTTTAGGTCTAGAAAACATGGATTTTTTCTCATTTTAAACCATTTTTATTATATATTTTGGTAGATAATCTAAGAGTTAGACTTTCAATCTCATTTTTACATGCTTAGCTTTTCTATATAATTTTTGGTTTTTCTTAAATTCCCAACTGACCGTTGCATGTTCTCCTTGCTAATCCTTGACCAAAACTTGCCCTGCTTTAATTTGACCCGCCATTCAAAGGACACGTCCTGGACATTCAACTAAAAGAAAAAGAAAAAAAAATTAAAAACAAAACAAAGGCAGCGAAAACCGTTACGCCTTGGCACAATGCTCGAGGGTCCTGCCAGCTTGTCCTTTTTCCATATCCCGATCTTGTTTCTTGAGTCACTGACCTCATTTCGATCGGGTTCGGTAGGTCCTTCCTCGTTGATCGTTCATCGTTCGTTTTTCGTCCACATCCTGGTCTCAGGATATCCCCTAGATCTGAAACAGAAACAACTTGCAATTAAGGCTACTAAATGGCCAAAGGGAGCCCTGGACATCTAAAAAAAAACAGGATCAGGATCAGGATCATAACTAAAATGGAGCGAACTGGAAAGTGGAGGTATCTCCTAAGGCTACAGCTTGCTTATTTGGGTTCTCCCTTCAGTAAATGTCTTTTCTTGAAGAATAAGTTAAGCAAAAATTCAATTCCTTTCCTATGACCTAGAAAATCTTGCCCTTAGATAACCCCTTTTCTCAGCTAATCCCATCAATAAGATAGTTCGCTTGCCCTCCTTTTTTTCTTTTCTCGTTTTGACCAAAGACCAGAGATAAATCGCCGCCAGTTTAAACTCTCATTAACCCAGAAAAGATGATGCGGCAGGACCTTGGGCCGCGGATCCATAAATTATCATTTTAACGGCCAGAGCCAAAGGGTCGCCAGAAGTGACTGCGTCATAAAATAAATTCCTAATCAAGGGATTCCGGATCAAATTGTAATACGCATGTTGACCGCTCCGAAAACGAGAATTGGTATGACCAAAAGATGATCCCTAAGATGGGCTGACTGACTGGTCAGCTAAAAATGAAATATGAGTTCAGAGGGAAGGATGGAAGGAGGATCGGCTGGTCAAGCGTGTAATGCATAAGGATGTGAGAATATATATATATATACATCTTGGCGGTGGCAATTTCACAGAGGTCCGTCCCAAATCAAGATCATTGACCAAGAAGAAGGACCAACCCAACTAATATTCAAATGAGGTCGCGCAAGGCCCGAGGGCCCGTAAATTAAGGCAACTGCTAATGCTATTGCTCTTGCTCTCCATATGATGACTGCTGACCAACTGCAACTTTTGCCAGGGCAAAGATGTAAGGGGAAGGGTTATATATAGGATATAGGGTCAGGAGGGGTCCTTTAAAAGCGGGAAACGGGGTGTGTGTGTGAGTGAGTAACGAGCGCAAACTCATTACAATGGGAGCAGGACAACGAGAAACAGGAAACATTTCCATAGGGATGCAAAAGGAAAAACTGCACTTCTAGTGTGTGTTCGTGTGCTGTCCCACCTTAAGACGCGACCTCCGAAATGGGACCAAAGAGCAACCCAAAACGGGGTTGATCTTAAAACTGGACAATGGTCAGTGGACGGACGGCTACTTTAATGTCCCTTTTTTTTTTGTTCTACTTCGACCAAACTAATTTGCATTTTTCTCGCGATCTCTCGCGTTGCGCCTTCGTCCATTTATTTATTTGCATTGTATTTTCCTTCTACATTTCCATTTACTTAGATGGGAACTTTCCTTGACCGTTGGTCACTCCTGGCCTCTTTTGTTCTGGGCCATTCTGGTATATATATATATTCTAGATATAGAATGTAGTGGTCCATTGTGCCCAAAGACTATTGTTTTCCTATGTCATGTCCGACAAGAACTTTGCTGGGGCAACTAAGAAGGCCCTCTCCTTCTCAGGGGCCAAACTCGTTTAGGTCCCGGGTCTGGGGTTCAAGTGAGACATTTATATAACACATATTTCGCGGCAATCATTCGGTACCTAACAGCTGTGAACGTGAACTACGATCCCAGATCAAGTCACTAATTATATGCCTCGATTTTGGGAAGCAACGTTTTTGGGCGGGAATCTAAGAGTATAATAGGATTAAGGAAGATTCTTGTTGGGAGAATATCTCTGGGAAGGTTTTTGATAATAATATTTTTACTTTAGTTAGTCATCTTAACGATCAACTAATCTTCAACATTTTGAGACTGTGGATTTCCAAGAATATAATTTCCCAACTAGAAAGGTCAAGAAACCAACATTTAGTATTGATTTTTGGATTTCCCTTCCCCAAATCTATTAATAAGCTAAGCCTTATTTTTAACATTATTATGACTGCTGATAAATCAGCGCACATTCATCATGTCTACGCTGGCATATTGATTGTGACCTTTTGTGCCGCCTGCCCCGATGACCTGTGGAGTGAAGTTCATCCAGTTAATTACTTAATTTCATGCAGTTTATGCCCCGAAAGCCAAGCCCAGGCCAACATCCACCCCCGAGAGTGGGTAAACCCAAAAATGCGAGACCAAAAAAAGGCCACTCATCATTATGGGGATGTAGTAAGGTTTTTCATTTTTTTTTCCCATTTCGATGGGTTGATGCGGCGCTTAATCGTGACTTTTAACGCACAAACATCCAGAGGATGGGCAGCAGCAAGGTGAGGTTAAAGGTTATAGGGTGTGGTCTGCGTCTAACCCCACCCACGCCCAGCGGGAAAGCAGATGCTTTTTTTTTTGGGGGGTGGAGGTCGTAATCCCAGAGGTTCTGGCATTTTAGATGGCAGACGTCGAATAATTGCATTTGGCACGCAGTTTTCTTCTTTTTTTTTTGACCAGACAACTGACATTTGGCCAAAAAAGGATCTGAGAAAATGCATAAAATCCTGAAAGAGATTTACACAGAAAGTTAAATTGCAAATAGAAATAATGTTAAAAAAGAACTTAAAAGTTCTTAAATAAATATTTTATAATTTTCTTGACTATATTTACATTTTATTTAGGAAAATTCTTCAAAACATATATTACTATATGTTCCATTTCGATCTTTAAACTTATTTTTCACTCTGCAGAAGCTGAAATATCAAGTCAGCGGAAAGTGTGGCGCATTTTTAGCTTGTACCACATATATCCGTATTTCCTTCCGCCCAGGAAAAATGCTTTTCCTGCTTTAGTTTCGTTTTACGCTAGACAGACTTTTGCCCAGCTCCCCATTAATATATATTTATTAGATACAAAGTTTACATACATATATATCTCCCCAGACACGAAGAGTCTGCCAATTCAAAACACCTAAATCTCAGCTTAAACTGGGTATAAAGTTTAGATATATAACCAGAGCATTATATATATATATTTTTTATGGCTTAACTGATGTGCTTAAGTCAATTACGTGTAAATAAAAATGAGATAA